AAACGCAAAAACCCCCAAAAAACGAATCGATTTTAGAAACAATTTTTTCCGTTGTTACCCAGGCCTAATAGAAAGTATTAGTGTCCTTTTTAGATACTTTCTTTTTTGCACTACCTTAGAATTTTGTGGCTGGGAAAAGACATGTGAATGAACTAGGGGAATGAATGTCCAACTGTTAGTAGTATTTAGGTGAAATAAGCTTCCCTGCTATTTCTGCCTATTGGTTGTTGTATGGTTTTCTTGACTGTGCGAGAAGCTAGTCAACTTCAACATCTGCATGACAGTCTTTCAGTTACTGAAGACCAATATTCTGTCTCCCATTAATTTTGTTTTCGCCAGCCCAAGTGTATTCACTTCTCTAATAATGTTGGCTATGTCTCATAGCTATGTGTCCCCTAAACTTTCAACAAGGTCATTCATTAAAAAAAAATAACCTAAGACAAAATCTGAAGCATTCCATGGAGGATACTACGTCATACATTGATATTGGTTGAATACTTGCAATCAACAAGTTATGGATCAAGCTAATAGTAATAACATTTTGCTCAAACTTTGCCATTTTCCCTGTATGAGAGCATAATAATATTTTGGCCCAAAGCCTTTCTGAAATCAAGATAGACTAAGTTCACAGCTTTCCCATGATCCATTAAGTTGGTATAACCATAAATCAACAAATCAATAAATAAGCTGTCATTACTAATTTGTGATAAAGGGTCACTGAGGACCATTCCACACAGCCCTTTAACCCGGGAGCAATCAGATTTCTTAAATCTGATTCTACCCAGGTTAAAGTTTACACACCTACCCCAACATCCACACTTCCCCCTTCTCCTGAACTCTCCTAGTGCATAGAAACGACACGCCAGGAGAGGACCAGGAGCATTTTTCCTCCCTGCTTCTCCTGGCATGTCATTTCTACACTCCGGGAGAGCTCCAGAGAAGGTAGAATGGCAGCCAGGTAAGTTATTTTATTATTGAGCCTCCTTTTGGGGTGGGGGTGGGTGGGAGGGGGTTAGATCCCTTACGGGCCCTCTCAGAAGTACCAGACCTTTTGAGGGGGCAGTCCAGATCACATCCGTACTGGATTTGACCCAGGTCTGTCCAGTATCAAATTAATTTGGCACAATTTAATTAAGGGGTTGTCTTGATGCATCCTGAATCATAGAATCATAGAATCATAGAATCAAAGAGTTGGAAGAGACCTCATGGGCCATCCAGTCCAACCCCTGCCAAGAAGCAGGAATATTGCATTCAAATCACCCTGACAGATGGCCATCCAGCCTCTGTTTAAAAGCTTCCAAAGGAGCCTCCACCACACTCCAGGGCAGAGAGTTCCACTGCTGAACGGCTCTCACAGTCAGGAAGTTCTTCCTCATGTTCAGATGGAATCTCCTTTCTTGTAGTTTGAAGCCATTGTTCCGTGTCCTAGTCTCAGCAGAAAACAAGCTTGCTCCCTCCTCCCTGTGGCTTCCTCTCACATATTTATACATGCTATCATATCTCCTCTCAGCCTTCTCTTCTTCAGGCTAAACATGCCCAGCTCTTTAAGCCGCTCCTCATAGGGCTTGTTCTCCAGACCCTTGATCATTTTAGTTGCCCTCCTCTGGACACATTCCAGCTTGTCAATATCTCTCTTGAATTGTGGTGCCCAGAATTGGACACAATATTCCAGGTGTGGTCTAACCAAAGCAGAATAGAGGGGTAGCATTACTTCCCTTGATCTAGACACTGTGCTCCTATTGGTGCAGGCCAAAATCCCATTGGCTTTTTTTGCCGCCATATCACATTGTTGGCTCATGTTTAACTTGTTGTCCACGAGGACTCCAAGATCTTTTTCACACGTACTGCTCTCGAGCCAGGCGTCCCCATTCTGTATCTTTGCATTTCATTTTTTCTGCCAAAGTGGAGTGTCTTTCATTTGTCACTGTTGAACTTCATTTTGTTAGTTTTGGCCCATCTCTCTAATCTGTCAAGATCGTTTTGAATTCTGCTCCTGTCCTCTGGAGTATTGGCTCTCCCTCCCAATTTGGTGTCGTCTGCAAACTTGATGATCCTGCCTTCTAGCCCTTCATCTAAGTCGTTAATAAAGATCCTGAACAGGACCGGGCCCAGGACGGAACCCTGCGGCACTCCACTTGTCACTTCTTTCCAAGATGAAGAGGAAGCATTAGTGAGCACTCTCTGTGTTCGTCCACTTAACCAATTACAGATCCACCTCACCGTAGTTTTGCCTAGCCCACATTGGACTAGTTTCCTTGCCAGAAGGTCATGGGGGACCTTGTCGAAGGCTTTACTGAAATCCAGGTACGCTACATCCACGGCATTCCCCGCATCTACCCAGCTTGTAGCTCTATCGAAGAAAGAGATCAGATTAGTCTGGCATGACTTGTTTTTGATAAATCCATGTTGACTATTAGCGATGACTGCATTTGTTTCTCAGTGTTTGCAGACCGCTTCCTTAACAATCTTTTCCAGAATCTTGCCCGGTATCGACGTGAGGCTGACCGGACGGTAGTTGTTTGGGTCATCCTTTTTTTCCTTCTTGAAGATTGGGACCACATTGGCCCTCCTCCAATCTGCTGGAACTTCTCCCGTTCTCCAAGAACTCTCAAAGATGGTTGCCAATGGTTCCGAAATGACTTCCGCTAGTTCCTTCAATACTCTGGGGTGTAGTTGATCTTTATTAATCTGTCCAATGTATGTCTGTTTTTTTGTAAATGAGTCATGAATAAAACAGCCTTCTATGGAGCCATATATGGAGATTCAGAGTGGGCTCAAAAAAGGTGAATACCATCTTTTCCCTGTTGAATCATAGAGTTGGAAGAGACCTCATGGGCCATCCAGTCCAACCCCCTTCCAAGAAGCAGGAAAATTGCATTCAACGCACTCCCGACAGATGGCCATCCAGCCTCTGTTTAAAAGCTTTCAAAGAAGGCACCTCCACCACACTCTGGGGCAGAGAGTTCCACTGCTGAATGGCTCTCACAGTCAGGAAGTTCTTCCTAATGTTCAGGTGGAAGCTCCTTTCTTGTAGTTTGAAGCCATTGTTCCATGTCCCAGTTTCCAGGGCAGCAGAAATCAAGCTTCCTTTCTCCCATGTCTTCCTCTCAGCCTTCTCTTCTTCAGGCTAAACATGCCCAGCTCTTTAAGACACTCCTCCTATCTTTAAATGCCTATGGGTAGATAAATCAATGGAAATCGATTCTATAAAGCAGCATCCCAATACAAACAAATCCTGTTACATTTTCCATGATTGCTGAGGGATTTGTCAGTATGTAGAAAATTTGCCTTTGTAGACTGATTCTTGAGGTAGTTAAAATTTGCTACTTTTCATCTAAGGTGGAGTGCAGATATGTGAGAGATTTGGTAGTTCAAAACAACACTTATACGAATAGTGCTAGGATTTCCTGCCTTTTGATGCGAGAGCATCAGAATCTGCAGCATTTGCTAGCAGTTTTCTAAACCTAAATCTAGTAAGAAGATTATAGGCATTGTTTGTTACTTTCTGCATTCAGTCATTGTTAATCAGACATATAATACCTCTTACTAAAAATGGTTTATGGTAAGACATACATAGACGCAAGTTCACATACATATACATACATGTGCACACACACTTTAGTCTTTTACCCCAAAATGTCACCAATGAAGAAAATAATATCAGAAACAAACATGTTGAAACTGTTTCAGACTATAAAATCACATGAAATTAAGGCATTTAAATGTTTTTTCTCTCCTTCTGGCACAGTGGAGGCCCTTCATTTGGGAACATTAATGGCTGCTCATGGTTATTTCTTTCCTATCTCAGACCATGTTTTAACATTGAAGGATGATGGTACATTTTATCGGTTCCAAGTAAGTATGGTTGTATTATTTTATTTATTCTTTATAGCTTTCATTTTAATAGAAAGAGATTTGGCCATGATAATGGAGTCATTATAAGAGTGGTTCAGGACCAATAGAAGTATGAAATGTCTGAGAAAATAGTGTGATTTGAGGAGCAGGAAGAAGAGTGGGGTTGAATTGGGGGAAGGACTCCTATATGCTTAATAGATGTTGGGGCAACAATGGCATCACTGAGGTTGGTGTCATACAGTGTGAAAACACATTGTGTTACCTCCATAGATTTCCGACCAGACGAGACCAGACCAAGATAATGGTCACTGAAATACCAGGAAATATGACGTCAGTGACTGCTTAAAAAAAATCAGCAATGGAAGCAACAACATGTAATTTTAATCCATGCAGAGGAAACAATGTGATTCAAGGCATCATTGTGTATGGATCATAGTCATAGGTGTGACCAGGTTCAAAAAGTAAATTGATATATAGTTTTAGTCTTGTAGGTATATTGACACAGTACATGTAAACTAGGATTACAAAAATGTTATTTCTAACTATAGAGATATTTTAAAATAATAAAAAAAAGATTCTACTGAAACACTGTACAAAATTTGTAGACAGATATTTTGGTGTCCCATTCATTAATGGTGTCACCCAATGCAGTTTGCACTCTGTCACCACACAGCCCAGATGGAGATGGCACTATGAACAGAAAAACATAGTGTAAAATTACACTTAGAGTTGTTCATCTCGTTATAGAAAGATGACTGGGTACATCTCTGCCACCACATCACTCTCTAGTGGCCAGTATGTGACTATTTCAGAATAGAGGGATACAGCAGCTGAAAGGAGGATTTGGGATGGGGAAAGAGATGTTGTGTAGTTCCACCCGAATAGACTTTATACTATGCCTCCCTGCACCAGGAGATTGAATGTATAGCCCTGTCCCATATTCAACCTGAAAACCCAAGGCAAGAGACAGAAACAGAACAAGAAAGGAAGGAAAACATTATCTCCAGATAGTGTCCATGACAGTACAGAAGCACAAATTCTAGACATGTTTCCCTTTCTCAATTAAACAAATATTGTTTTTGTGCATCCAGTTGTTAACACTGTGTGCACAACTATATAACAAAAGTAGTCATTGCAACAAGCATTTGACAAAGATTGCCATGGAAATGGGAGCTATTTTAGACAAATGTACACAATGTGTGTCTGAAGATCAAAAGACAAAAAAGGCCTTGGTGTTGCACAACTTAGGCAGGCTTATTTCAAAAGATAGAATCTTTCAGATGGGATCCTGTTTGGGAGTTACAGATCATAGATGGCATTTGGGCAATTCCTCTTCACACATAAAACTTCATCATCATGTGCAGATGCTTTGATGTATAGACTACTTTATACATTTTTGTTCTTCCTTTGAATAACCCTAGAAGGTGATTAACTGAATTTCTGAAAGTAGTATTGACCAAGCGGTTCTAGCTAAGTAATGGTCCAGTGCCTATGACATGTGATACTAGTTTCTAATTACCCTGCAAAGTCACTTTCCAGCAATCTTTATAGGCAGGAAAACAAAGCAGCACATAGACAATATGAAGTTATCTGTCTTAAGCTGGGACTTAGTTTCAAAATTCTAAATCCTGTATGGTATAGAAGTGGTGAATGTGGCTGTGGAAAATGAAAAAAAAAACTCCTCTGCTTCTAACTCCTGGTCTTAAGTCATTAAGGGAGTTAGGTTGAGTATCAACTTACTTTCAATGTATGCCAATTGGATTTGTCATACTGATAGTCTTAACACTTCCCTGGAATGCTTAAAGTCACAAAACAAAACTGATATGAACAATGTTAATATTCAACATTTTCTCACCAAATTTCTCATTTGCTTTTCTTTGCAGACCCCCTATTTTTGGCCATCCAATTGTTGGGAGCCGGAAAACACAGATTATGGTCAGTGTGGATCTCTCTTCTCTTTCAGTCCGGAGTCTTGCATTGTATGGATGAAAGTCCATTTAAACCATCTTTGCTCTTTACTAAACCACCCTTGATCTTAATTTCTGAACCCTGGGCAAGAACTGCTAATGCTGAGCTCAAGATTGGCTTTGGTTTACAAAGTTTACTAAGGCAGAGGATAAATCTGACCATGAGCTGGGAATACAAAAATAGTACTTTTTTTGCCAAACATATTGTAAATGCACTGACTCAGAAAGCTAATTCAAAGGTAGTTGACATTGTCACTTAGGCTGGAACAACCACAAGCTGCCAGCTGAAAAGTATCCACTGAGAACTGATTGACAGCAGGACAACAAGACAAAACTTTGTACATTTTCCTTGTATCAGTCACAGAAATCATTGTCCTCATATGCTAACATCCAGGGATTCGAGTTACTTAGATGCAGGTTTCCCCTCTCTTCCAAACACTGATATACCAGTCCCAGGGCTTTGATTCACTTAAAGGCGAACCAAGGTTGTATGGTCTGTTGAAATGAAATGGAGACACATTTGACAAAGTATACCACAATGTTGCTTTATTGTTTTCTTAAAACTGTTAAAAGGAATGCAGCAATAAAATCTAAAGCAAAGGTGATGTGAGCACATGTCTCTTCATCTTGTTTAAGTTGTCACAGCCCATCTTCACTGAATTTGTATGTTGAACTAGATGCCAGCCCAGTGGACCAGGTTCCTAGGCTGGATTACACACATTCTCTCAGGACAAAACCACAAGTTTGATTTTTCCTGATCTTTCAATTATTTATTTCCCTTATTCAGAAAAGGTCTAACTTTTTATAGCAAAGGGGGAGGAGGTCACTCCATTCCAGGAAAGAAAAAGTTTCCCATGCATGCCATGATACAGACATTTTAATCTTATCTCTAGAGTGTGAGTTGATCTTGGTAAAGAAACTGTAAATACTCCATAACTCATTGTTATTATTATGTGCTAAAGTTCTGCTTGATTAATTAGTAATACCTAGGGTACATCCACACACTAATGTAGAATTAATTCAGTTTGGTACTACTTGGCTTTGGATGTGATTTCATAACATCATGGCTCAATGTTATGAAATGATAGGATTTGTAGTTTGGTGAGACACCAACAGTCTTTGGCAAAGAAGGGTGAAGACCTCGTGAAAGTACAACTCCCATGCTTATATAGCATTTAGCCATTATGGTTAAAATAGTGTTAAACTGATTTCTACAGAGTAGATGCACCCGCAATTACTATGTTATATATAGTAACTGTGGCATAAGGCATATGTAAGAACTCATCTAAGGACCCCCAACTAAATAAAAATACAGAATTATTAGGTGACCTCTTGTAACATTCTGATCAAATACAGCAACACTATAAATAATTAGTTCCCACAACCACTTGGCTGTAAGGTAGGGCTTGTATAATGATTGCACAATATTGTGGACTGAACTCTCCAAATGTTAAATGTGAAATATATTCAATTTATTTCAAAATTTAGTTCAAATGTGTTGCATCACTTAGTGCACTATTGATTTATTGTGTTGGACTGGGGTTGTTGCTATTCTTTTCCCCAGTTATAATTACCTAGATTATGTAGCTGAGGGAAAAGGAACTCATGCTTTTAGTTAAAGACTTATGGCCAATCAAGATTTGAGCATCTATCATCTGATAAAGTCAAAAATACCTGACAACATGGCTGCCAGAATCTTTTAAATGTGATTTTTTAAAAGCTCAATGTTTCTAAATATTTTCAACAAGTGCAGCATTTAACATATAAAAATCCTGACCTACAATTAATACAAAAGGAACCATAGAACTGAATAGCAGTAATATTTAAACTACCCTAGTTTTCACACAACAAATGTGATGTTCCTGCCTTTGGGATATGGAGACTGATACTCTGCAACAAGACTTGATGGCATTTTAGAGGTTCTTATCGGAGGAATCAAGATATACCACTTTGTTAACTGTAGCTGGAGGAATAGTTACAATTCTATGTGCTGTTTTCAGGGGGCAAGGTTCAATGGCACTGGCTTCTAAATAAACATTCAAGATTTACACTAAGACATGACTCCTTCAACCACAAAAGGCTGAGCATCTTAACTAATCAGTCTTCAGTGATGATCATGAAGTGAGATACAATGTTGTAAACATTGAACACATTCAATTATTTTTCCTTCTATTACTAAAACTAAACTCGTATTAACATTTTTTTGTGTCAAATGATACCATCTACAATGCAGAATTACAGCAGCTTGACACAACTTTAAATGCCACAGGTCCATCCCATAGAATCCTGAGATTTCTAGTTTGTTCTGGCAACAGACCTCTGTGATAGAGAAGGGCAAATACTGTAGATAAAAGAATTAAATAACATTGAACCATGTAAAATTGCTGTAATTCTGTGGTATGGATACAGCCTGTTGTAGAAGGCAGATTATTTAGTAGACCAAACGTCAGATATTGACTTCTAAACCAAAAGTGAGTAAAGAATTGATGCAAAAAAACTTTCTTGAGAAACACTGTGTATGTTCATTTAAAAACACATTTTTTGTACAATTCAGCATGCATAGAACCTGCATTAGTCCCAGACCTCACTTTTTTTAGACTGTGTTCCTATGCTTTTAACACAATGTGCAGAAATTAAGCAAGTAACTCTGTCCCCATAACTTTACTTCCCATACTGAATTGTGTACCATTATATGGTAGGATTATATTAGAGCAGAAGTGGGGAATTTTGACCTGGGGCAGCTACATTTCATTTCCTGATATTCCTGTTTGGGTGGGAGTTCCTGTTTGTAGATCCATTCAGTGGGTGGAGATAAAAGTTATAACAACAACAACAATAACTACAACTACAACAACAACCACAACAACAACTTTATTTATAGACTGCCCTTTCTCCCCGAGGGGACTCAGAGTGGTTCTAGTTCTTAACTCTGTTGATGGATCAAATACAAGACCTGGATTTTTTTAGCTCTTCAGTCCAGAAAGGCAGTCCTTTCTATAGAGCTGAACTGGGGAATTGGTGAGCCAGATAGACTTCTGCTATAGTACAGTTTGCTGATCCGTGAGGACATGTATGCTATTGAAGGGAATGAACAGTGTACATGTTAATGGGCAATTGAAAACACAATTAAACCTACAACTAACGAATGAACTATTCCTGAAACTATACAGGATATGTTTCTATTCCACAAGTTGCATATTCTTAATAGGAAAGAATAAAATTGTGGGAAATTAATACCAGTTGTAGTTAATTTAGAATATTCAAAGGGTGAAGAATACAAGTGGCATAGAACATCACTGTTGTTTGCATAATGGTTCAGGATTCAGAGTGAGATGTGTATTGATAGCTGGAGTTTTTGATTGCATCTACTGGAAATAATCTATTTTAGGGAAGTATAGATCCTGAAAAGTCTACACTCGGCTTACACAAGGGGCCCAAAATATGCATGCTAAGCCTTTTGATGCTGCAAATAAGTTTTTAGCACCTCACTTCCAAAGTAAGATATAATTAATGATTAAGTAGGATTGTTGTTGTGTGCCTTCAAGTTGTTTCAGACTTGGGGCGAAACTATCATAGAATTTTCTTGTCAATATTTATTCAAAGAGAATTTACTTTTGACTTCCTCTGAGACTGAGTGAGCATGATATACCTAAAGTCATCCAGTGAGTTCAGAGCCATAGCCCCGAGGTTCAAACTAACACATCACATTTTCTAAATTCTGAAATTCTTTCCTTCTGTTTCCTACCTACCTACTTTTCTTTCTTTTCTCCCTCCCTCCCCCTTCCCTCTTTTTCCTCCTTTCTTCTTTCTGTCTTTACTTTTTCCCACTCTTTCCTTTTCTTCTTCTCTTCACTCATTCCCTTCCTTCCTTCCTTCCTTCCTTCCTTCCTTCCTTCCTTCCTTCCTTCCTTCCTTCCTTCCTTCCTTCCTTCCTTCCTTTCCTTGCACTGCTCCCTCCCTCTCTTCCTTTCCCTTCCTTCCTAGTGGTGGTGGTGTGTGTATGTGTATGGGGGGGGGCAGTGAGCAAGTGGGCAAGTGCACAGACGTGGTCTCCAGGATAGTGGTGGTGGAGGAAGCAGTAGTTATGCGTTAGAGAACCAATATGATGCAATGATTTGAAGAATAGACTCCACATCTGAACAGCAGCATCCAAATTTCTTGCTCAGCAATGGAAACCAACTAGGCATCCATATGCAAGTCACTCTCTCTCTTAGTCTCTCATAGGAAAGGCAAAGACATTCCCTCTCTAAAGAAATCTTGCAAAAAAAACAACAACAAAACACTGCAAGATGTTTTTCTTAGGGTCATCATTAGTTAGAGTCAACTTGAAGAAATACAAGAAGTTCTGCTTAGTTGAAAAGAGATAACTATGCCACAGCATACATCAACTTTTAAACTTTTTTGGTGGTGGTGGGGGATCTAGGAGCACCTTTACTATCTTATTTTAGAATGAGCTTTCATGGATTTCACTGAAAGAGTATCAAATCTCATATATATTAGGAGTTACATTGTTGAGGTGGTGAGATTAGAACAATAGGATAGTGTAATGTCTGATTACACTATGTAACACAACTTTGGTTCCTGAGTTATAAATGTCATTACCTAATTGGTTCTATCATAAAAACATGGGAAAGGTTTATGAAACTGCAAAAACTTTATTTTTGTAGTATAACCTTCAGCACATTTTGCTTTAGTTTTTCAATGAATATCTCATAGTGTCTCAACCAATTCAACATAGTTTGTGGCAGCCACAAAAATAAAGTTTCTGGAGTATATCAACTACTTTCAAAGTAAGTACTGCACAGTTAAACAGGAAATGACACTTTCAAACCAGGAACAGATTTTTTTTCAAATTTTGTTACATAGTGTTGTGAGCAATGAGCATAGGTTGATACTTTTAATAAGACTGGGATAATTGCATTAACAAAATCTGAAGATACTATCTTCCTGTTGTTATTGTGATGAGATGGGATATGAAATCTGGTAGATAAAATAACTTAAGAGGAATCAATCAGGCATAATTTTAGTAGTGTTCTTTCCCCTTTCCCATGTACTCCATATGAGTATGGTCTAATGTTATCAACAATTTACTCAGTTTGAATTCTTTTATTGCAATGTGTAGGTTTCATATAAAGTATTGTAGATGTAAAGTCAAGTATAATTATTCCACTTTTTCCTGGTTTGAAATCTCTTAAGAATCTAGTCTTTTTAGTTCAATAAGCAAAGCTAGACCCAAACCAAACATGATCTTTCAATTGGATTGATGATGCAATTATGTTGCCAAGGGAACAAAAACATGGCCAAATAATATCCTGACTTTTAAGGGACTTTTATGCTCGATTATATTTGTATTCTGTTCCTAAGAACAGAATAAAAAAGTCTTCTCTTGGATCTATAATTCTTGAGAGAATTTCTCAGTAACAGAGTGCTTTGCATTCTGGTAGGTACAATCTTGCTTTCTTTTTATTAATGTATTGACTCAATATAATATGTACATTATGAGTTCTGTAAGAATATTTATTTCATAGGACAATTGCTCTGACTGAGATAGAGCGTAACTAATGCTGCACTACCCCTCTCTTTCCAAGCCTTGGGAAGTGCTCCTGCAGCCATTAAATGACTGTGGGTGGAGATTTCCAAATTTAGGAGATTACAGGGTTGTTGTGAGTTTTCCAGGTTGCATGGCCATGTTCCAGAAGCATTCTCTCCTGATGTTTCACCTGCATCTATGGCAGGCATCCTCAGGTGTTGTGAGGTCTGTTGAAAACGAGGAAAAATTGGGTTTATATATCTGTGGATATGTTATTATTTAAGAACACAGAAATGCTGGACCACTCTAACAACTACCATGTCAGACTACACAGAGAAGCCATTGAAATCCACAAGCATGTGGACAATTTCAACAGAAGGGAAAAAACAATGAAAATGAAATCGGGCTACCAGTATTTTAAAAAAAACCCTTAAAATTGTACAAATAAATAAAGAACACTACAGGTGAATTCCACACAAGAAACAATCAGGCCCAGCTTCTCAACAAAGGATTCCCCCAGGCAGTAAGAAGCCACACCTTGAAACTGCTAGGCTATTAAATGCTAATCAAGGTAGCCAATTGAAACATTCACACCTACCTCAAACAGACAAGAGTTCTTTCTCCCACTCTAGACATTCCACGGATATATAAATTCCATTTTTCTAGTTTCCAACAGACCTCACAACCTCTGAGGATGCCTCCCATAGATGCAGGTGAAATGTCAGGAGAGAATGCTTCTGGAACATGGTCATACAGTTTGGAAAACTCACAACAACTCAGTAATTCTGGCCATGAAAGCCTTCAACAATACATAGGAGACTACATGTTGTCCCTGCCATAATTTGTTAAGGAAGCAGAATGGGTCCATGGTTCTTCTTTTCTTTCTATTTGGAAAATTGCAGCAGAGATGAGAAGATGACATTTTGATTATTAAAATCAGCCAACATTGAGGGGCTGAATCAAGAGAGAACCAAACAAAAGTATGTCAATGTGTCGAAAGGAAGCAAATGCCAACACAGTCACTCTGATTGTGATATTATTTTCTCTCTAGTTTTTATATTATCTCCTGGTTAATATAATGTAAGCCATACACTTATGTAAGCTTTCTGATTAGATTTATGCTCTTTGCAATCTGTCTCTAATTTCCACATGGTGCTTTAATCAACTCTAATCACTTATGAAACAGACAGGACAGCAACCTATTATCATTTGTTTTACCGGGTGGCAATCACATTGATTATAAAAATCATGTTAAATATGCAACCCAAAGAATAAGCCTAGTCTCCGAGGAGCTAAAATTATAAGTAACAGCTAGAATATTAAAACTAGCTGTCTAAATCCAGCTGTGTTCTCTGGGCAACTAATTCCATGCATCAATGAACATCCCCAAAAGGAGGTATCTCTCCTGATCTGTTTTGAACCATTGTGATTTAGCATGTGGATCTCACTTTCTGGCTTAGGACCCATGGCTAACATCTAATGTAATTCAGTAAACTGGTGACTATGACTAATCCAATTAAATGCTCCATTTCAATTGAATCTTCATTAACTCACAATGATTTCATTATCACATTGATTTCAACAGATTGGGGCCATCATAGATTCTAATAGTCCAAGCACACTGTATTACCAAGGAGCTACATCCTACAATTTTTTTTGCTGTGAAGATTATCTTTTATTAGCCTTCTTATCAGCTTCCAAATAGTTCTGAAAAAAGAGGACTTCCCAATTTAAAGGGATTCTGACTCTTTAAGGTTTATGAACAGAGCCTGATAGCAGTTGAATAACACAGTGCTGAGATGTATTGTGGCTTGGAAGCCCAGAGTTCCACACTAAACAAGCTACTAATACTTCTATATAATTTTTTGTTATACAGACTTTTTAATTTTTTGAAAAAATATAGAATAACAGTAATTGAGCAACAAAAGGGAATCGTATACATGCAAATATAGCAGTAAGGAGGAAGCAACAGCTTGATGTAATTGTTGGTGTGCTGAACATGGCCATAAAAATGTACCAGGTGATCTTGGGCACGTCACACTTCTCAGTGTCAGGGGTGGCAAAGGCAAACCTATTCTGAACAAATTCCACAAAAACCCATGATGGCTTTGTCTTGAAGTTTCAAAAGTCAAAACAACTTGAAGGCACAAAACAACAATACACTTTCCCCAACTTATTTATGTCACTTTTGTTTTTATATTTTTTTTCGGTTACTTTTCCAGTGGACATATCAGGAGGCAGGGAAGAGGTTGAAAGGGATCCAGTAGTCCCTCAGCCAGTGTCAATGGGCTTGGTGTCCTTCACACACCCTTTCCATGAGACCATGAGTTTCCATTTACTCTGGACTGAGCTTCTGTCTATTGGGTACCAACTGCATTGAACTAGATTATGAGTCTACACTGCTATATAAACTGAATTCTGTATTATATGACAGTGTAGATTGGGGCTTGGTTGTTATCTAGAAGCACAGTTGGAAAACTATAGCATGTGTAAGGATCGATAAGTTTTCCTCACTTGGTAGAAGGAAAGGTTTAATCATTAGTTTATATTTCAGGCACAATACAGTATATCAGCAGAATATATAATCCTGTTGGCACAACATCATAAAATCTCCTCTGTTTGTAAAGCTAATTTACATTTGGTCTTGCACTGTGGGTGTGAACATTCATGTTACTGAGGAAAGAAATTCAAGCATACTTCATTTATTTTATTTCCAAAATATCTTTCTGCCCATCAAGAAAAAGGTTCTCTGGACACTTCACTTAGGCTGTCCACAATTCACATTCAAGCACCTTTCTCTCACTTCTAATTTATTACATATGTTTGTTTTTCTTCTTTTATAATACTAAAAAGGCAAATAACATGAACAGATGAATACTCTAAAAGAAATAAACAGATGAATATTCTGAATGAGTTGCTTCTTAAATAGTTGAATCACTATATAGTACACATAAAACAGGAGCACTTATTAGCATTAGAGATCTGGGGTTTTAAAACCATTAACCATTACAGGGCCACAGTTCATATCAGAGACTAAATATCCTAAAGACACCAAATCTTTTCAGATCTTGAGGACTAAGGGCCCTTCAAGACAGGTCCTATATCCCAGGATCTGATCCCAGGTTTTCTGCTTTAAACTGGATTATATGAGTTCACACTGCCAGATAATCTGGGATAAACAGAAAACTTGGGATCAGGTCCTGAGATATAGGGCCTGTCTGAGGGCTCATCCATACAGCCTTATATCTCAGACTATCAAGGTAGAAAATCCCACAATATCTGCTTTGAACTGGGTTATCTGAGTCCACACTCAGATAATGTGGGATTTTCTGTCTTGATATTCTGGGATATAGGTTTGTGTGGAAGGGCCATGAGAGGGCCCTAAGCAGGATCAACCTGGTTAGTGGTTGAATGAAAGACTGATAATGAATACCAGGTTATATTTCAGAGGGAGGAACTGGCAATGGGTATCCTTTGCCTCGGAAAATCCAATAGAATTAATGTGATCATATGTTTACAGGCAACTTGAAGGCACATGCACACACATGTAGTTCATATCCATCTATGTTTAGGAGTAGTGTATTTTTTCTCACATATAAATGGCAAAAAGCAAAGTGAATATAAAAATGCACAGCCTACTCAAATGTATATTCAAGAAAAGGCATAGAGACACTAAATTATTGCTGTTGTGAAACATAGCCCTGGTCTGGATTAACTTTTGCCCTTAAAGCTAAAACAGCAGATGGAGGCTCAATGGTCAGGAATTTTTTGGTTGATTGGAATTCATATAAGCCTTAAGATCATGATGTCTGGAGATCAGATAGCATCTGAGATAGTAAGAAATGATTGATTATTTTTTGTGTTCCAGCGGTTTACCTCTGCAAGCGAACAATGCAAAACAAAGCACGGCTTGAGCTAGCAGACTATGAAGCAGTAAGTACCTGGGGCCTTTCCTAGAACTGAGATGTCAAATGAGTGCGACTCTGAAAAATGGTAGAGTGCAGGGATAAAAACTACAGTGCAGTTTAAATCACACACACACTCACACACAATCCTGTTTACCAAAAGAACAAATTTATGAACTTTAATTACTTGGAGATTTACTTAAACTGGTACTTGAGTCTGAGGATTTTGGAATCCTTGAGCAACAAAGAACTGCAATACTTGCAGCATTACATTGTTCTATGAATAGAGAAGGGAGCAGTGGAAAAATGGGAACAATTTAATTTAGACCTTTACAGAGATACTGTAGCATCTTGATTCCTTAGTATTTGTTCAAATTTAGCTCTAAGGCTTCTCTTTGCATGTGTAATGGATCCCTGTTTTATATTATGGATATGCTGAATCAAAAAAGTTGCATCATGGGACGAAATTGGCATCAATACAAATTATATTAAAGTGTAGTGCAGGTTAGATGGAGTTTGCCCTCTTAGTACATATAAAATAATATTTCAATGCATACATTGACCTAGTGCCAACTCTTTACCCCGCATGAAAAGATGTCTGTGTGTGCATTTGGTTTTTCCATCCTTTGCACCAGGTCATGCAGAATAGGACATAATTCTTGTGCTTAGAAATTCCTGTTGGAATCTTTTATCACTTTTAGTTAGTCGAACTTTATATATACTCAGCTAAGTAGCATAAATGTTAAGAAACACCATTATTGAATGTGAGGATGCATATTAGAACACCACCAAAAGTTCTTGGTGCATATCAGGATCAATATTCTTTGCTGCACAATATGCAGTGGGTACTTTTCTACACAATGAGTATTGGGCACTTTGCTGGCTCTGCTAGTCCTTCGCCGTAGTCCTCTACTGGCTATGAGTAGTATGAGTTCTAATATGTAAGTCCACTTACAAAAGTTAAGACCCAACATAATTCTAGGAAAGATCTTTAAATGCAAAAAAAAAAAATAATATTTAAAAGCAATTAAGGCGGTCTTTGTGAAAATTTTCCTACTATTCTGCCATACTTAATTCAGCAGAATATTTTCCTAGTATTTGGCTACACTTCGCCCAAGATTTCTAGCACCAGTTTCATGTCTGATTCACTTTAGCTGGTTAAGAGGAGGCTTGCAATGAAATCCTATGCATGCTTTATTCAGAAGTAAGTCCTGCTGTGTTCAGTGGAGCTTACTGCCAGGTACGTATGCACAGAATTTCAATGAAAGTGAGCAGGCGGATGTTCTATTTAGGCCAAATGCAGAAGGGCATTTAGCCTGAATTATCTGGTGCTTTCTTTACTGCATTGTTAATTTTTAAGTTTTCCCACATGTCATGCCAGAATCTAAAAAAGTTGTATTTATTTATATACAGTTTTTTTTCTTAGAAAAGTTCTGGTATGCTTGAAACCAGAGAAGCATAGAAGTACTGAATATTTCTTGGAAGTGGATCAATAAGTGAAAACAACATGTATGTTTTAGTTTTTAAATGTAGAGATGATTTGTGAGGGAAAGCCACTTGTTGACATAAAAAACTAATGCACTTACTCAGCTATCCTTGTAAACATGGAGGTTCCATTGTCCATAGATAACTTTTCCATAAGCAGAAAAAATGCCCCATCCAGTCAACTGGGTTGAAAAGGTAGGGTGTATGGAATGGAATGGAAAGGAAACTGAGAATACAAGGGTCTTTGGAATGGGTCATTTCTATGAACAAAGGCCCTTATGATCATATCAAAACCCATTAATAGAAATCTTTCCTTATTAAAAAAAACCCAGTTATAGTAATTTAAGTCTGTACAAACAAAACAAGTTCAGATACATTCATTTTAGGAAGATTTGAAGTTCTTCAAGGCTCCCTTCCAAAGCTCTCTTCCCTATTCCGTTAAATGTGGCGCCTGAAAAAGAATGAACACCCACTCCTTCAAATAATCAGCAAACAACTTTCATAGGCCATAGCAGGAGTATATAATGTGGATCAATGATAATGTCAAGTTACAGCCAGTCAATGGAACAGTCTCTCTGAAAAGCCAGTAGGGAATTTTGAAAAAGCTTCCCTAGAAACTTGCTAATATGTGGTATGTTTTCAGGAGAGCTTGGCCAGGTTACAGCGAGCATTTGCACGGAAATGGGAGTTTATTTTTATGCAAGCAGAAGCACAAGCAAAGTGAGTTCCACTGATGTTTTGTTGCTGGATTTGTCACCTGCTTTCTTAAGAGGTATTTCAATTTACATCTTTTATGTTGCATATTTGACCTCATCATCAACAGAGTGGACAAAAAAAGGGACAAGATAGAGCGGAAAATCCTCGATAGCCAGGAGAGAGCATTTTGGGATGTGCATCGACCAGTGGTATGTAAATTAATGAATCTTTTAAAGCAATTTAAGATTTGGGTTATTTTATATTGGATCATCAGCTAGTACAAGTTGAACATTTCTCATTGAAAATTCTGAAATCCAAAATGTGAATTTGACCCCATGAATGGCTATAATAGTGACACCTTTGTGTTTTGATGGTTTACTATAAACAATTATTTAAAATATTATATATAAAATTATCTTCAGGCTAGATATATAAAGTGTGTATGACAAAACATCAATTCTGGGTATAGATTTGGGTCACTTCTCCAAGATACCTCTTTATGTATATGCAAATATTTCAAAATCTCAAAAGCCCAAGTTCTGAAACACTTTTGGTTACAAGTGTTTTGGCTCAGGGAGACTACTTGTAACTTCAGGCGGTCCTCAGAGTACGTACAAGATAGGTTCTATAGTTGAATTTGTATGTAAGTTAGAAGGTACATTTTTAAGTGTCACTTGAGCCATTTCTTTTAGTTTTGGATAGCATAGAGAAGAGTTAACATTCATTTCATTTTATTGTTTCCTTGTCAACCCAAAATGTTCAAAATCCAATTGTCACAGGGACAGAAAATGAGATGAAATCTTCTGAACAGGGGTACAGACAGCTTTCTCGACCTCAACAATGTCCAGCCATGCAAAAGGGAGCTTGTTGGTTGCCCCTGGGGAGGGGTGGGTGGTGCTCCCTTTTCCTGCACCTGTGAGTGAGGGGTGAGAGAGTGCCATCAATTCCTAGGGCTGTCAACAAATTCCTTTGCCCTTCCTCTCCAGCTCCTGTCAAAGGGCGAGGGAGGCTGGAAAAAGGTCTTTCATTCTTTGCCTCTAGCCCCTGTTAGGGGGTATGGGAGACTGGCTACACGCCCCCCTTCCTCTCCAGCAAAGGCTCTAGTGGAGGGCATGGGAGGATTGCAAAGGCTCCTTGACTTGCCTTAAGCCACAGCTGTGGAGAAAGGGAGAGTGATACGGGTCACAGGCTCCCTGGTCTTTCTAGGGAGGGAGTTTCAGAGCAGCCATCAAAAACTCTGATGCTACCAAAGCAGCTTAAGAGAGTGATGGGACAGATGACTTCATCACACTGTGCTACGAAAAATGTGGGAAAATGAAAGAAATCATCTTCTTTGTGTGAGATTCCGTTTTTAAAGAAGATAGAGAATTTGCATACCTCCATCCCACAGAATTGCCTCCTCCTGCCTCTAGATCAATCATTTGTAGACAGAAGGCGGACACTGCTTCTCTGGGCTCATCTCCTTACTCTGAAGGAGACACAAGGCATCATTCTTAAGGCAGACATCACTTATCTGGGCTCCTTTCCCTCCCAATCTGTCATGCAGGATTATCCAAATAAAAACAAAGTATACTGTACAGTACAGTTAATATCTGCAAACATGATAGACATTAATCTCTCTCCAAACTTTTAATATAGTTAGCTTGTATAAGAGCAATGCAGGTGGCTATGTGTCAAGAGTCTTTACTCTGTGTAAGGTATATAAACACAATGGATTTCCTGGTGTGCTCATGTCATGCACAGTATGTTTCAGAAATTGTGTGGCTTCAGGGTATGATAATCTTATCACCCTTCTGTATTTTGAAGAATGCAAATAACAGTCATCATTTCAACAGAAACACAGCCAGAGCCAAGTGGAAGTGCTCATTATTGTGTATTGTTTTACAAACCTATTTAATAATTTCAGGTTTTTTTAATGTCAGGAGCGATTTGAGAAACTGCAAGTTGCTTCTGGTGTGAAATAATTGGCTCTGCAAGGATGTTGCCGAGGGGACACCCAGATGTTTGATATTTTACCATCCTTGTGGGAGGCTTATCTCATGTCCATGCATGCAGAGCTGGAGCTGACAGAGGGAGCTCAACCTGCTCTCCCTGGATTTGAACTGCTAACCTATCAGTCAGCAGTCCTTCCAGTACAAGAGTTTATCCCACTGTGCCACTGGGGGTGCCTATAATTTCAGTTGATTACAGAGAATAGAGGTTAAGTATGGCTTATCCAAAATGATTGAGACTAGTAATATTTTGGAATTGTTTATTTATTTATTTAGGAATGCCTGGATTTTAATATATGTACATACTGAGATATGTTGGAGATGAAACCCAAGTCTAAATACAACCTTCATTAACATTTCATATATGTGTATATCTCATATGTGTAGTCTTAAGGTATTTTTATACAATATTTATAATAAATTTATGCATGAAACAAAATTTGTGTACACTGGATTGTCAGGATGCTAAAGAGCTGGTAGACCAGTAGACTGCCACAGTTTCTTGTTTTACTTGCTTTTTGTAACTAAGTGGAATGCTGTTATACTCTCTGCTGTTAGAGAAATACAATCTGTTGTCCTATTTGTTCTCTGTTTGTTATAGAAACAAAATACATTTTATTCTTCACCAAAAAAAAAAAAAACAGAGCAAATGTGTCACTAACTTGGCTACCTATTTGTATTTTTTTTAATTTGAAGAATTTGGGGATTCCAGATCATTTATGTTCAATGTGCAATAAGTCTGTCAATCATGTTCAGAATATTTCACCTCAATTTTTGTCTTTATGCTACTTGGATTTCAAAAAATGTGGCTTGTTGTGAAAATAAGGATTGGTGATTAAGCTTACATTGAGACACCTGATAACTCTTTCAGGGATGAATTTCTTTTCTGATAGCTAGATATCCAGAAAGTTACTAACAGTCTTGGTAGACAAAGATACAAACAGCCTATAGTTAACCAGACTAAGATGGTGCATTTAAAGGGGGGGGGGGTCCACAAGAAAGTATATCTGGTGTTAATTGTGCCTTATTATTATGCCAAAGGAGATACTAAGCTGAAATCTAAACACAGCCAGTGTGTGACATTCTCCCACAGTGTATCTAAATTAGTTTGAGAAATCTTTGCATGAAACACTAGCTTAGAAAAAAAGTTAAGATGTGAAGATTTAATTTAAGAACTCATTTATGAGAGAAACACTTTATTGGAGGAGGGACTGATGAATTAATAGCCATATGTTCATCCATTGTGAGAAAAGGTACCTGGAATTATCTGGTGGAGACAGTGATTGTTAGCATCTGTAGTTGTTTGCAGTCCTACCTCAAAAATAAAACAGAACTAAATATTTTCTTATGGGAGTTTTTAAACATATTCAATATATTATCCCATGTTAGGATTTCTTTGCAAAATGTAATTTTTCAAAGCTAACTTTGATCTCCAAAAAGATTTTTTTGCATAAAAACCTAATATTTTCATGCAAAATACTTTAACAATTTATTGTTTTATGTATACATTTTCATTTTTTCTTTGAAAAAAGCATGTTATGCAAATGACATTTGATGAAACAGTTTGAAATGTGAAGAATCTCACAATAGTTGGCATTTTTCATAATCTTGTCGAGGAAAATAAAATTTATGGGTATACTTTTTTACTTCCGGTATGCACACAGTGCAAGCTACATATTCAACGCTTCTATGTAGTATAAACCAGAAAATACTCATATGTCCTGTATTATTGATTTCTTAAGTGTTAATCTAGCAAAGGGGTGGAGGACCTGTGGACTCAAGATACTGTCTTCTATCAGAGACAGAGACTATGACAAAGGCAAATTTGCTTTGTAGTGTCTTCCATCAACAATTCTACTGGACTTTGTAAGTGAGAAGGATTTGTTTGCTAGGACATCATCTTGGGTTTTTTTTTTTTAAAAAAAAACTTCTAGAGATGACTTGGTTTTGAGGATCACTTATGCTGTAACTGCAATTTTATAAATATTTACCTTGAAGAAAGGCCCATTATTCAGCGGAGCTTACTTTCAAATAAGTAAGCTCCACTGAATTGCCAAAGAAGAGGACAAGAACATAAAAGTAAACATTGCTGTTGTCTGAAATCTAACTTCTTTAGCTGAACGTCTTATATAAGTTATCATAGTTATCATATGTTTTTATTTATTTTATTTTTTTTAGCCTGGATGTGTAAATACTACTGAAGTGGATATTAAAAAGTCATCTAGAATGAGAAATCCTCACAAAACAAGAAAGGTATATATTAAGATTTTTCAAATATTATATTATACTGATGATACACTGTAAAAAATCTTTTCCATAGAGTAAAGTCCTTGTAATATTCTGGACACACGTAGTCTTATTATTTCTAAAAGGGAAGTGAGTATCACTTGACTCTTGACTTATTCAATAGCAAAACTTCTTACAACCTGTATTTTCTTATGAACTTCTTAGACAATGAAAAGAAGCAGCAGTTTTTTTTACATGTAACAAATTGTCGGGTCTTGCTTATTGTTTAATATCAACATTTTAATATTTAACCATGCTGTCTTTAAAACTTACATATGGTATATTATATAAGAACTACACAGACCATCCATACTGCACAATTATAGCAGTTCGACACTATTTTAACTGCTATGGCTCCATCCTGTGGAATCTTGGAATTTGTAGCTAGTTATTTCACCATAGCTCTATGGCAGAGAAGGGTACAAATCCTAAAATTCCATAGCATTGAGCCATGGCACTTAATGTGTTATCAAATTGCTATAATTTTGCATTGTGAATACAGCCATAGGTAACTGTATGTGATCTAAGATAATCTCAAGTGGAGCATGTTACACTATCACCATTGTTAAAATAAGGTTTACCTGCCCGTCTGGCCAACTTTAGATCTGATAGAAGTGTCATTACATCATTCATGCCAACAATCAAAAGGATTTAAGCTGTTCCTGGGATAGAACATGCCTTTTGAACTGAAAGATCATTTATCTATGACTCAACCATAAGGTCTATCCTGCTCATCGAAAGTAGAATGATGTATTTAATGGACATTAACACCACATAAGAGTAGGGCATTTTGGGTTGCTTAGTGGAAGCTTGCCTGGCAGGGATGCAATAATCCTTTTAGTTGTGATATGTCTGAAAAAAATAGCTTTCCTGGGATCAGAAACCTAAAGCATGATTCTATGTTATATTTCTAGTACTATGATTATTTAATGTCATACATGGTAATTTAAAATATTGAGCTTAGTCTTATCAAATTAATAAGCTAACATCTCAACAAGTTAATTTATTGGTTAAATCTGTATATCAGTTTTCCATCAATTATTCTCAATGCAATCATGCAATTATATGCACAGTCAGGGCTATGTACACCAGACGGTTTAGTTCATGCCAAATCCAGGGCTATTTGATGGCCCAGGAGCACATGTGTTCTGCTGAATTGGCTAACATCTTTCTTTTTCCATGATGCTGTCACTCATAGCTAGTTATAGAGCTCATTGCTGCTAGCTGTTGCTGGTTTCTTTGCTAATACTAGAAGGAGCATAACCAGGAACAAGGAGGGGAGTTGACCTGACATCAGCAGCTTTATCCCCAATGACCAGGAGCTTGGACAGTGCTTTAAGGGCAGCTATCATTTGCTGTATCAGTGACATGGCCAATGAGTACAGGGAAATGGTAATAACACCAGGGATGGACCAAATCAGGCTGATCCTACCATCCAAATACGATACTCTGGAGTTTCCAGCAAACCCTGGAACATCCAACAACTTTGCCCAAAACATGACAAGGCCAGTTTAGACAAACAAAAACCCAGCAATACTCACCAGAAGTCATGGGACAGCCAGCAATCCATTCATGGCAAATCCATATTATTGTGGATAATTCCCCAGCATACCTAAACAGAGAAAATGGTTATCAAGATAATTTCTCTTTTTGTATTGGTGTAGTCTGTCTATGGATTACAGAATGACATCCGAAGTCATAGTCCTACACATACACCAGCGCCAGAAAGTAAACCACCCACAGAAGAGGAATTGCATGAAGAGGTTTGTGGTGCTATAGCTGTCTTGTCAATTAGATGATGTTTGACTTCCTATCAAAATTAAACTTTGAATCAAATCGTAATGAATACAGGTATAGTCATCACATTTTATTATATTATTTTAAGTGACAGAAAGAAAGTGAAATCTTGGCTTTAGGATCAAGCCTTCAGAGAATAATTTTAGTGCAATAGATGAATACGGAATATGTGCAATGACTACTGGAACGGCCCCAGACTATTATTGTGGAGGGCATGGTTTTAATAGCAGATGTAATGTTTGTAAATGTTTTAATGTGTTTTAAGTTTTAATTTCAATTCAAATGTTTATTTTAATTGTATGTTGTTCTTAAGGCATTGTTTATGTGTAAGCTGCCTTGAGTCCTCTTCAGGGTTTAGAAGGGTGTGATATAAATATAGTAAATAAAATAAAAAATTAATCAAATCTCTAGAATGAGCTTAAAATATCAGATGCAGGCAATGCATTTTTTCAATTTCATCACAAGGAATTCAGATCTTATGTCAATCGGAATTAACTTGAGGACACATCAGCTTTTTTTGTAGACAGGTTTGCACAGGTTCTGTTAAGAGAGGAGCCTGTGATGAAAGGCATGAACTAAATATTTAAGTGTGGCCTAAGTGTCTGTTCCTCCTTTATCTCATCAATAAACTCACTAGATATAGTCTTAAGTTAATATTCTTTCAGGAGTAGATAAGTTAATCCATTTTTACATGGTAGGTCTATTGTAAGGATTATTTCTTAGGAATGGAGTATTTTGGGCACTAGAAAGGACTAATAGGTGTATTGTACACAGAATTTAGAAAAAGTCTCTGCAGGATCCCTTTCACACTACTGAATTATAGTGCTATGATTTCAGCTCTAGTGTCTCACCAAATTACAAATCCTTGGATTCCACAGGATGAAGTCATTGCCGTCAAAGTGGAGCCATGGTGCTGTAATAGTGTAATGTTAAAGGTTTCCCCATTTATAGAGGAATTCAATGCACTTGAGGGTACTTTAGAATTTCAACGGTGCTTAGGAGTATGACACAGTCAGTCTGATACCCCAAGTGATTTCAGTGGGAGAGGTTTTAGCAAATAGCATAATGCAGAGGATTTATTTAATTTGCTTTCACTCATACTGTTACATTTTCGATACAGAATGATAGCGAGGTGTTCTGAACAGAAATGACTCAAGGATAAGTAGATGTGAGTCCTACTAGTTTCAGTGCTGTAATGAAACAGGCAGTCATAATAATATACAACCATATGAAATTGAATGCAATGTTCCTCTTCAGTCTGATGGGTCTGGATTGCATTTATTAGACTGAATGGTACCTTCAGTTGATTTGATCCATCTTTTTTGTATTGTCAGTAGATTGTTCTTAACCCCATAAACAAGGTCATTGTACTTAGCCTGTAGTTCCAAAGCAGGCTTTTCATTTTTATTAAGGAAAATTGTGTTGTATATGTTCCAAACTTAAGGATAAATTTTCAAAAAGGTTGTGCAATTATTTTGTTTATCTCATCTTATTTTGCATTTTGTAGATAAAGTATTGGCAAGTACAGCTAGATAGACATCGATTAAAAATGTCCAAGGTTGCAGAGAGGTATGTATGTTGCCATTTAAAAAAATATATAGATCATGATTGTCTTTAGGTTTGTTGCAGATTCTTTTGACACAAGGGTAAGAATGGAAAGAATGTTTGAAAATATTTATAAAATATTTTTGAAAATAAAGATACTTTCATAAGAAGAATCTCAAAATGATGAGAATCTTCACAGTTCTAGACATATTACATGCAGAATTCACATGTGGTTGTTTTAAGACAGAATACGGCATTTTCATCACAGAAATATTAATCTGTAAGCAGAAAACACTGTAATTGACCATTTTTCTCCATAAAATTAATATAGGGTTATTTTGAAAGAAAACAGCATTTTCTATACAGCAATTAATATTTCTGTTTTTAAATGTTGATTTCCCATGCAAGAATGGCTGTTTTCTGCACAAAACAATAATGTGCAATTTTTTGCCTAAATTTTTGCCTGAATTGTAAATAGCCTTTCTCTCCAATTATTTGCCACTACCTTCAGGGGGAAAAAACGTAGTGAAGTAATATACCAGAGGTAGTGGATTTCACAACTAGCTTTCAATGGATAGGTGTGTTCTGTATCCTATCTTTCTTCTAGTAAGGGATCCAAAGATAAAACAAGATACAATTAAAAACCGATGTGAGAAAAGTCAAATAAATGAACAAAACTAGTTATTACATAAGCAAACACAAAATTTAAAACAGTATAAAATGATTTTAAAAACATAACAAAAAGAAATTAAAATTCACCCTCCCTCCATTAAAAGCCCTCAAATTTATGTTTAGATTTGAAAAAGGGCTTTTGCTGCTGGAATAAGGAGAGCAAAGACTGGGTCTGCCTAGCTTCCCATGGGTGAGAATTCCAGTAGTTTCCAAAAAAGGCCATCTTTTTTGTCTTCACCAGACAAGCCTGGGTGTGATGGGAGCGTGAACAGCCCTTCTCCAAACATTTTAAAACTCAGGCAGGATCACTTAAGTAGATGCAGTCTTTCAAATAGTCTGAACCTAAGCTATAGATCTCTACAACCACTTTGAATTCTGCCTGGCAATGAACCATTACTTAGTGAAGCTGGTCTGACAAAGGATTTATATGCTTTCTGTAACTGATCTAACTTCAGATCACACCTAAAAGGCCATTGCCAATCACACGGGGAATTTTCTTTATCTTTAAAATCTCAATGATTACATGCAATGGGGTTGTTATTTTCTATCTGTAACCACAGTGCAAGAGCCAGAGTGGTACACTGGCTTGGGTGTTGAATTGCAACTCTGGAGACCAAAGTTTGAATCTCTGCTTGACCATGGATATGTAGTGGGTGACCCAATCTGTTAGCCTCAGAAGAAGGTAATGACAGACTTTCTCTGTGTAAGTCTTGCCAAGAAAACATCATGGTAGGTTTCCTTGAAGTTGTCATAAGGTAAAAGTCACTTGAAGACACAAAACCATAAATTAACACCAGTAGCAGAGAGAGAGAGAGAGAGAGAGAGAGAGAGAGAAATCAGTCCATGCCCTGAAGACATATTAGAAGGCAGGCTAATTTGGTCCACTCTCTTCTCTCCTCTTGGTGACAGGCAAATCAACAAAAAAGCTGGATGTGGTTGAAAACTGCTTTTTAAAGCATCAAGTATAGTTTGACCCTTACCTATGAAAATAAAGTAGAAAAGTAATAATAACAAGCATGTCAAAAAACATCAGATGATTTTGTTTTTCTAGCCTATTAACCTATACTGAACAGTACGTGGAATACGATCCCTTTCTGGTGCCACCAGATCCATCCAACCCTTGGTTGTCAGATGATGCTACCTTCTGGGAAGCTGAAGTCAGGTATGCTTTATGTCATTTTGGATCTAGTAACCAGAAACTACATTTATCTAGCATCTGCCAAGCACCATGGGTGCCAGTTAACCAAGTATACTCTGTGTGTGCCATATATATCTTTTTGTAAAAATATATTTTTGCTTTCTCTATTACTGAAGAAAAAAGTACTGTCTTTATATGCTTTCATAAATACAAGAAAACTCATGCATGCTATTTGACAATTTTTGATGTTTTTGCTAGATCTGTGGATATGTTATGATACCCTTTCTTTATCACAGATGAGGAAATGTATCATTTACATCCCAAGTTTGTACCACATATTTTCACATATTCTGAAATTATATTGGGGAGAATCAGAGCTCATACAGAAAACCCAAGATTAAGCCCTTCACTCTAAAGTAGTGCAACACCATTTGTAATCCCTAAGAGTTTCTGTTAGTTAGCACTAAACCAAATGGAACTATAATTTAAATCTATCTGTATCCATCATTTCACAATACAACCATTATATTCCAAAAATAAATAAAACAATAAAATAAACATATACCTCTGATATGTTAGACCTATTTACTTCAAATTGGAATGATATAAAGGATTTTTTAAAAGTCACATTTGATGTAATTCTTAGATTAATTTAATACAATTTAAAATAATAACATTAACAAAGGTAGCTGTACAAAAACACAATAGTAATAACAAATGTATAACGAATGTAATAATTGTGACAATTCAATAAAAATTATTTTTTAAAAAAAGGTTCAACAAAGTTCTTTATTAATAAAAACAAACAGGTACTTCAAAAAAAAAAACAAAGGTAGTAAAAAGAGGAATGTCAGTTGGTGCATAACTGATCAAAGAAATTCAACAAACATGTTTTAACTCTCTGTGTAACTTTTTCTTGCATTCTCAGTAAAGAACCACACCAGCAAAGAGTAAAGCGATGGGGATTCAGCATGGATGAAGCCCTGAAAGATCCAGTGGGAAGAGAACAATTCCTCAAATTTTTGGAGTCTGAATTCAGTTCAGAAAATTTAAGGTAAGATCCTAACTGCATCCACTAACACTGGAGATGCCCAGAGAATATTGGGACAGAGGTCTGCAGAGGTTAAACACAGTTGCTGTAAAGCAAAGGTTCTTTGCTATCATCTACAAAAGCAGTGCAACTTTTAAAGGGAAATTTATCAGCTAAATCCCTTAGCTGGGCAATATAAGCATAAAGTGCTGTGTGATCTTCACAGAAGAATTCTTCAGTCCATTCGAGTCTACATCTTGTTTATGTCTCCAGAGTCTGTTTCAACAAATTCATGAAATAATTCTTAAGCAATACTCTAGAAAGGTCTAAAATCCATGGATCATCATTCAACCAACACAAAGCATTACATACACACCAAGGCTCTCAGCCTTCCTCAATTCCCAGTTCTGGAGATATCTAGAACAACATTTGGCCCTCTGTCCAGGGTGCTTTGATTGTGGTTCTCCTGAATGGCAGGGGGTTGGACTAGATTACCCATGTGTCTCTTCCAACTCTATTACTTTATGATTCTATGTGCAAAAATGGTATGTGTCTGGATGCGGAAATGAGCACCTGAACATATGTAAGCACCAGTTCTTGGGATGCTGTTAGCAGTTCTTGGAATGTTATCACAGAAGGGATTTATAATTAATCTGAATAGCATCATAGCATATTTAAAAAACCAATGAACCATAAAATACATAACTATCGATAAAAATAAACAGAAATATTGAATTCTAATGGACAGTAAGGTATTTCATTTTAAAAAAGAATAAGGAAGTCCAGAAGATACACAAAACATCTTCTCAAAAATAGGGAGATGTTTGACAAAGGATATGTATAACTTTTCCACTGATTGTGAATATATCTTTCTATAAGATATATTTTTGATAGCTAGAACAAAAAAAAATGAATATTGCTGGGGCCACTGGTTTTGAAGTCATAACAGCTGCTTTTAAAAATATCATTTATATTTAATTCTGTTTTAATGTTTGTATATTTTTAGATTTTCAGTTGTATTGGAATGTAAGCTGCTTTGTCAGCTGCTTTGAGTCTCCTTGTGGAGAAAAAAAGTGGGGTATAAATAAATAAATAATTGCACATTTTCTTATTCAGGTTCTGGTTAGCAGTAGAAGATTTGAAGAAGAGGCCTATGAAAGAAGTTCCTGCCAGAGTACAAGAGATCTGGCAAGAATTTCTTGCTCCTGGAGCACCGAGTGCCATTAATCTAGATTCAAAAAGTTACGACAAAACTACAAACAATGTGAAGGAGCCAGGACGACATACATTTGGTGATGCTCAGGTTTGCAGTATTAATTCAGTATTCCACATACACACATAGTTGGATCATTTCCATATTTTCTACAAACTTTCGCTAATCCATTTTGTACTAATTCCTTGATCCGTTTATTCCAGGTTAGTTCTCCAGATGTCTGGGACTTCAGCTCCCAGAAGCCCCAGCCAACTTGGCCAGCTGTCAGGGTGTCTGTGAGCTGAGGTCCAAAACACTGGAGGACCAAATGTTGGAACCACTGCTTTAGTGTAATATTATTAGCTGATGTCCTTAATATATTTTTTTCTCACAAGAAGAGCTTTAGAATACATATTGAAAGAAAAGGAATTTCTCCTTTAGATGCATGTTGGTTATCATTAAGCATATTCAGTACGCCAAGAAGAAATAAATGTGTTCTGCATAATTAGCTTGTTTGAGGACATTCTAAAATCAGACCAAAAATAATATTTTTAATTTGAATCTCACAAAAAATGTTTCTACATATCTGCCCACCTCTCTTAGAAATAAAAAGTGCTTATATATGAGACATATTCCATTCTACCTTCTCATATTATTCCAATGTTTAGTGTTTATTTATTTACTTTATTTGTATACCGCCCCTCTCAGCCCGAAAGTAACTCGAGGCGGTTTACATCTGGCAATCAATGCCCTACAAGATAAAAAATAAAGTAAAAACATTTCCATATAAAATAACCATGTAAAACAATAAACAATTAACAGTGTTGGTTGATAGATAAATAGCCTCCCCCAAGTACTGCATGGATTGTTTTGATTAGTAGGTGAAAGTGAGGTGCCAACATAGATTTCTAAGCTTTATATACTTAAAGGAGACTCATCCCTTCCTCCTATTTGCAATCTTTTTTGCAAGGCTTGATACATAAAAACTGAATGAGGTATTACCAAAAAGCAGTGAGACGTTTTGATCCTACAGTTTCCAGCTAAAAGTGGAATACTGTTTTCACAAACGGCAGGTCTGTTAATATATCTAGAATACTTCTTAATAAGTTCCTGTTTAAAATACTGAAGTAATGTATTTCCTCAAGAGGAACATCAGACCTCAAACTGTAGGTGAGAGGAACTCTTTTGATTTCAGTACAAGCTTTATCTCTTCTTCACAATTATGTCAACCACCTTAGCCATATAACCATAGAAAGTCGCAGCTTTGCCCAGCTGTAGCTGAGAAATGGTAGCAAGGAAAAACCTTCTGCTCTCAGTGGTCAAAAGAACTTTTCTACATTGTTTTTGTAAGAAATGTGGGCAAAACAAAGGAATTTTAATAGTAAATTCGGCAAGCTTTTAAACAGAGGCTGGATGGCCATCTGTCAGGGGTGATTTGAATGCAATATTCCTGCTTCTTGTCAGGGAGTTGGACTGGATGGCCCATGAGGTCTCTTCCAACTCTTTGATTCTATGATTCTAAGTCAGATTCATGGCATGGAGCAATAAACAGAATAAAGAATAATGGAAACAGATCAGGTGATGGTGTGGGCCCAAGGAGGGACATTGGAGATGCAAAAGCAGAACTGGACTGGAGATCAGCAATAGTGATCTCTAAGGGGAAAGTGAACTGAAGCTCAGGCCTTTATATCCTTGCAGAACACAGGTCTGGCATATTTGTAACTGATTCCCTTTCCAGTTGGTGGGTTTGGATAAAGAACTGTGAGGTAGGTAATAACCCACAAAGATCAAATGGACTCTTGATCCAAGATACCTCTCATCAGTTCTGTGATTAAGATGGACTATCTTACACCACAAATTCACCAAATGGCAAATACGAAACAGAAGTATTCCTGGACAGAACATTTGGAATTCTGGTAGACTTGACAATGGCATATGGTAGTTAGGTGTGCCTGCCTTTTTGAATGCTTCCATATATGCTCATATATATGTTGGCATCATGTATAAGTTGAGGGAAGGTTTTGAGGACAACATTATGGGTTTTTATATGACCCATGGATATGTTGAAAGCCATTCTGTGATAAGGAGAAAACAACAGTGCCTCCTCAGTGGACCTGCCATCCCTGGCCACTGCTGCCATTTCCCTGCCCAGATACTCAAAAGGTCCTGAAGATGTACCATGACAAAGAGTGGGGTTGGTGCTTTTTTAAGGTTCCCATAGGATGGATTTCTTGCATTTCATCACACTAGTCAGAGAAGAGGATGCTTTCTTTTTCAATTAGAGTTAAGATACAGTATTTACATTGACTTGTGGATTAGTCAATCCAATACTTTTGGGTTTGTTTTTTGAGTGAAATGTCTATACTTATACATGAGTATATAAGGTAGTCAGATTCTTCTTCAAACTTGGAATATGTTTGCACAGATACTCTCTTCCCAACCACAGTAGTTAAACTTAAAACAGTAGAGTATCACACTTTAGGCTCGCAATAGCTCTTATACTCCTAAAATAACATTTCCAAGCTTTGATAGAATATGTATTCTTTCCACAAAGTTGATTTGGTGCTCCACCTCTGAACTCACACATCTCATTGGCTTCTGTTCACAGCTCAACTCTTTCTCTCTGTGACTCATTCTTTGTCTCTGATCTCAGCACTGCAGTCCCTGTAGCCATATGGTAGGAGAGAAAAGAAAATGATTCTCACATCCTAAAGACGAATTTTTGCATCTCTTCCAACTTTTGGTTGCCACTGAGAGAACATCAACCAATCAACAAAACAAACTAACAAACCATATGAAGATATTATAATTCCTTTGGCTAAATGCAGCTGTGATCCATCATTGCTACAAAACAAATCCACAGGGATAGTGTAACAAATTCCCGCCTATATCTAATCCTTAAATAGCTTTCTGCTGCTTTGAAGAATTTGATTACAAAATCATCTGGTATCACATAGAATATAGAGGTTTTCACTAGTTGTCTTCAGCAAATTGTGTGCAGAAGCAAGCTTTTTGCCTTCCAGAAATATTAACATGTAATAGTATGGTATATATGCAGTTTTACAAATGATTTAGTTTCTAAAGTGTGTGTGTTTGTGCATGTGTATGTACATAGTTTCATATATTCCTTAAATCTTTTCCTTCAAAAATATTTTAGGAGCACATCTACAAATTGATGAAAAGTGACTCCTATCCACGTTTTCTACGATCCAGTGCCTACCAGGAACTACTACAGGCCAAAAAGAAGGTATTGGTTTATCTTCTCTATGTACTCCCAGTTTTTTCCTGGTAATTTCTTCCTTACCATATTGATTACTTTCTCTCCTTGGGTAACTCAACTGCACATCTGATAGGAGAGGTTACTTCAGTTCTGAGCATCATAAAACACTTGTAGCTTATTTTGTATATCATATGTGTGAATTGGCTGAGTTAAATAATTCAATTTTGGCTCTAGAATGATCTGAGTCAAAAGTCTAAATTAAAGAAATATGTATACTTCAAAGATTTTTAGAAATAAGAATTGAAGATTTGATTACATAGTCATTTTAACTTTTAATTACTTAATTTTGTAATTATGTGACTTACATCCAGTTGCTTATCACATCTTATTAGATCAATTGAATGAAAGGCTAAATGTTAAGTAAAATTTATGAAGATCTTCTTATTTCAACTTTTATATTCTATTTAGCAGTTGAATTAGATTTTTTCCCCTTAACTGTAGTGTACTTCAGTTTTGGGTCCTCCCAGAAGTCCAAGGCACTGGCCATGCTGGCTAAGGTTTCTGGTAGCTAAAGTCTAAAACATATAGAGGCCCAAAAGTGGAGAACCTATAGTGCAATCCTATATCCTAATCATGTTGAATCAGAAGAAAATTCCACCAAAGTCAGGGAAGCATGCATTTAGGTTTATAATTTTACAGAGCCAATATCCCATGTTCTACATGTTACTGGGAATTGTCTTTTCATATAACCTCTGCTTGAGCATAATGTCTGGATGGTCAATCCTAGAACATGCAGGGGGCATGGGCCCATTCTACTACTCTCACCCATTGTTCCCTCGTTCAGATGTTGAATGGCTGGATATTATTAGAAATGTCTACTGAATCACCAACTCTTCTTGCATATACAACCAAATGCACATAGAAGCATCTTCTGACTTGCTTTTTCAACAAAGAAGGTTCAAAAGTGAAGGCTGACTTTACTGTGAGGAAACGTGAAGAAAATTTTATAAGATAAAGTGAGGGTGATGTTCAAAAGTGTTTGGGGATGTGGTCAGATTTACATATCCAGTTTCAAAAGTTTTTCCCTAGCTTTTTATGGTTTCATACATTCATGAATTAGAATTCTTCTTTTTTCCAATACATGAGTTAGAATATTTTTTATTATCTTGGTATAGGCATAATGCATAGATCTGTAGCCGTACACTAGAGTTTCATCATTACTCTAAGTTGGGTTCTGTCTTGGAATGATCATGAACTTCAAGGACAGAAAGCCAAATATGATTCTATGTGGGCCCTCTAGCACACACAGGTATTAAATTTAACCCAATGAGAACAGAGAGGTTTGGGAGAAAAGAAAGTAATGATTTTCATTATTATTTTCCTTTCTGTCAAGCCTCGTGTTCTAACTGCGTGGAAAAAATTGGTCAGAGATTAGAATGAATTCAATGGGACATTAGGGAAAGACAACATTCAAGTGAGAATTATTGTATAATTCAGCTGTGAAATGATTGCTCTTTTAATACCCTTCACAATCTCCATTTAGTTCCTTTATCTTAGTACCCCATATTAACAGTCCACCAGCATTCTTAGAGTAGATAAGTGAAAGGATTAAAAATTACAACCACCCACAAGAAAAATAACAATTGAAAACAAGAAATATAGCAGATAAGAAGACCTCTAAAAGAGAGCACATGAAACACGCCCTGCTTAGAAAATATCAGCAGGGTGCAGTAGTCATGTGAAAGGAAATCTGAGCATTTCAAGTTGTTGAGAAATATGGAGAAAAGAATATTGTCAGCACCTTAAGGATATTATAGAAATTGGTAGTGTGGTCATTGGCACTCACTAGATTCTCCTGAAAGACAATAACTCTGATGACCAAGTGCATAAACTGCTTGTAACACAAACACTTCCAATTTAGGACTTCATCAGATGGCCCTTACAAAGCTGGAGGACAGTGGGGAAAATCCTGGGGCAGTGTCACGCTACGTTATCTACCATTGGAACTCATTGGGAGTCATAGTATCCTTTCCCATGATGTTTCCTCATTCCCTTTTCACCTCCTCCAGCTTTCTTGTATGTGGATTCAAGTGCACACCCAAATCCTCTAGGCTCAGTTTCTCTGGACTGCCGACACTCTGCTAGCATGCATTCCCAATGTAAGTAGTCCTGCACCATAGGATGGGCTCCGGGGGACTCCATGCTGACAACGTACCAGCAGCACAGAGAATCAGGGAGAAGACACTTATCTGCTTCTGTGAGATGAGCTCCTATGTTGTCGATATTTCTTAGGGTACATTTACACTGTAGAATTAATCCTGCTTGACACCAATTTAACTGTGATGAGGTGGGGGGGGGGAGCCAGGATGGTGGGGGACATGTCAGGTCCCCAAGCCCCTGGGCAGGTGCTGCCAGGGTTGCTGGGATCCACAGAGATTCCTGTGGCACATGTAACAAGGTCCTAACATTCACAGTAGGTTGAACCCCTAATATTTAATAACTCAAACACATAATAGAATAGCCATTTTCATATGATGAAACAAACCAAACCATTTAGCATTTAAACTCTGTTTCACAGAATGTCAACACCCCATTTTTTCCACTTTCACATTTTGTTTAATATTGCACTAATCTGATCTACATATCACTAGCAAAAGCTCTTGATCCAAAGAACACTGCATGCATTGGCATGCTCCACCAGCACTATTAGGCTGGATCTACGCCACCATAAATTTCATATTGTCAATACAAATAATCCACATTACCTGCTTTGAACAGGATTATATGAGTCCACACTGCCATATAATCTAGTTCAAAAAAAGATAATCTGAATTTTATGTGGCAATGAAGCTCCAGCCGTAGTGATACATGCTGGAACCATGCAGTACTTTTCTGCATACGTATTCGAAAGGGCAATTTGGTCCTATAAACCTGAGTTTGTGTGCAGATTCTTCTTCCTGGATCAAGAGAAAGAAAAAATGCAAAACCTTTCTCATTATCACTATGTGAACATATGCATCTTTTTGGTACTTGTCTTTTGTTTTGTGATTTGTACATGAGCTTTGTGTTCTACCAGCCCATCCCGCCCTTATTCCTTTATTTTTTTGGTCTATTCTTTTTGGCTTCTTTTGTTTGGTTTTCTGTCCCTTTATTTTTTTTCTTTCACTTTAAGTTGGGAAACACATTGGATCGCCGAACGTCTTTTGAGAAATTCACACGCAGTGTGGTAAGTTCATAACCCTGTGAGTGAGCCTTATGGTTACCTGATTTTTCTCCAGTGTTTAAGTGAGAAGCCAGCAAGCACTGCTTCAACACAGACCCCAGTGAAATTGTTTGAGTGACAGCTGTAGTGTAGGCAGAAAAAAAATGTCAAAATCTTCTCTCTTTTTCTGGAAAAAGAAAAGTGGTATCTTTTCCTTCAAAGAGGGAGAGATTGAGATGAAACTGAGGTCCCATTTACATTGACCATTTCATGCACTTCAATGCTTGTTGCAAACTCTGGCAAACTCCCACAAAAGCATGTGAAAAAACACCCCTAATTTGTGTAAGTGCTTTGTGGTTTCTGTAATTGTCATCATGGCTTCAAACTAATTCAAGGTTTCCTATGCAATCATCTGCACAACAAAACCAGTTTCCAAATTACATTGAATGGTCGGTGCAGATTGGGTCTAAAACAGTTCACATCTATGTTTTCTTACCTCAGGTCACCCTTTAAAAATGTTGCATTTGTTTTGGTATTATTATTATTATTATTATTATTATTATTATTATTATTATTATTTTGAAACATGTGTCGGTGCCTTTGGAACACTTTCTTTCAGTCATGTGCAAGTTCAAACTAAAGCATTCAACACATTTATTTTTGTAGGGCAGAAACATCCCAATTTTTCCTTGCCATAAAAACTGTACACCAACACTGAGGGCGAGCTCTAACCTGTTATGAAAAGAGGTAGAAAGATCTTGGCTTCTACTCCAATTTTTTGACATTGTCTGCTGAACTGTGTGCATTTCATGTATGCAGGTGTGGGTATGCGTGCGGGTTTATGCATTTGGGTGTGTGTATGTGCGTGTGCTGTGTTGTGGCTTTTGCTGTGACAACCAATTAAAGAAGTGGTTTGATAATTAATAAAGAACATCAGCAAAGATCATGGTTTTTGTTTTCATTTTCTTGATAAGGGATCAAAAATAATATTTATAAGTCACATTCCTTAATCATTTCCAAATAAGCAAGGGTTTAAACACAACCTAAAAACCAGTTACTATTAATGTTAACAAAAAGATTGAAAGCTGTCTTTGGTGCCTGCAAGCACCTGGGAAAAGGAAACTAGATAGCAAGATTTAGAGGAACACATATTTTATATAAAGTACTGTGTAAATTTAAGAAACTCAATTGCTTTTGGACTCTCACTCAGATCCTATTGATATCCATGGGCTTTAGTCACTAAGACTTACCAACCACACAAAAACAAGTCATTAGTGGGGACTTTGAAACAAAAACCCCTATTTTTGCATGGTGATTTTTGCCACAGCATGTTCTTCTGTGAGTCCTGTATTGTCTAGGGTGGGCAGCTAACTGTGGAGGGATGGGTCTATAAATTAATTGGATATGCATAGCAACTATTTTTATTAATTTATTTACAATTATAAAACAAAATGTGAGACTCATATAGCATTTCACGGGAGTTTTTTTCTTTGCAATGGCTATGACAGGGAAATAATAACATGAGCACAAAACAACAGCACTACAACTTCCTTCTGTTTTCTTCCTGTGCAAGCTGGCAAAGTCTTTAAAAACACAGATTAACATGATTTCAATGTGTGTTGCCTTCGAAAAGTGTTCAGACCCTTGTGCCCATACTGTTGGAGCCAGATGGCCAAATTACAAATGCACATGCCTCTCTTGCTTAAATAGATATCAATTTATTTTCTACCCAAAGTGCAGGTATGCTATATAAAAGCCCTACATGATTTGGGAGTAGGGGCTCATTTACAACAGATAGTATAGCCCAGTGTAAATATGCTCTAAAGCAGCCCTGGATCGAGTAAGTTTGTGTTGAATTAGGAGCCATTGTCTAGACCACATCCACTCCATTGGACTGTCATCTCTCTGCTGCCACCACCATTTTTAACCTGTTACCTGTGGTGATGTTAGAACAGGGTGCACCCCATTCTGACATCATCATACATGAATGTGGTGGCCAGTCACTTGGACAGAGCTCTATGGTCAGGTAGGAATGGCAACAGGGCATGGTCAATTCTTTTTCCCTGCATAGATAACTGCAAGAAAAGGATAATAGTGAGAGTGTCCTTCTGGACAGCAGATCAGGCAGGAACAGACATGATTCAGCTATCCAGACTGACCTGAAGCCCCGAGATATTCTAGCATTTCAGGCGAACTCCAGACTATCTCCCAGCTTTGCTAAAAGTGGAGCAAAGTAACTTTAGATAAAAAAACCTGAAAGCTGCTGGACACCACGAGGTCTTCAGCAGTCCTTTCCCAGTGAGTATGAGTTTTTGGGACAGTGTAGACAAGCCCCAGGACAGGTATACTTTGATTAAAATAAAAGAGGGTTTTCTAAATGGCTGCCTCCATTACGAGGAGCTTCCTGCTAAGGGGAATTAGGTTAATTTGCTTTGTGTTGTCAATGTGACAACAAGCAAAGGCCTACTTATTCACACAGACTTACGGTTTTTAAGATGATTTGTTAGCTATATAGGTTTTCAACTATAGCTCCAGGACGTGCATTGGTAACTGGGAGGAGAAGCAGTGCTGACAGTGAAAAAAGAGTTTCTCTTCCTGAGGAATGGTTCCTGAATTTCTCAATACTTCTGTTATCAATATTTGGTATGTTGGTATGAGTAACTGAGTTAGCCTGGCTAAAATTGCAAGATTGCAAATGGATTCACACATGGAGATTTTGATGCTACTGTCTGCCATGCTATTTAATTTATGTGCTTCTAGAATAAGTTACACATGTGCACCAAGAGGACCCTATCTTGGGAATAGATTCTGGGTTCCAATCTAACATAACCTAGCCTTGGTTGCTGGTAATGCTGAGGTTATCTACTACTACTCCAAAAATGGTTTTGTTGTGACTTCTCCAGGCACAATTCTGCTCAACTAACAAATTATTGTTAAAGTCACGGAAGCACCTGGCCAATAGAACTAACTTGGCATAATCTCAAAAACCAAAAATGTGGGCACTAAATTAAAGACAACATTCAGCAATTACTTCTATAGCTGAACACATTGCCAGAAAATGTCTGGTAGCATATGTAATGCAAGTGCTACTAGGCAGAATTAAAACTGAGTGAAAAGGGAGTGAGTTTGTGGAAATAATTTTATTAGAGGAATGCTTTCAAAAATGTTCTTGGAAATCTTTGTATTAAAACATTGCTTACTGATAGCTAATACACTTGTAGTCATCAATGTTATTAAAAGGACATTATGGGTTTTATTAAAAGTAATTCTCACCTACTAGTGCTACCAGGCACTAGAAGCAATTCATGCTGGTTTCTTTTTCACACAGACAAATGACCATTATTCTTATCTTAAGCATACATTGTACACTGGCTAATGGCATAATTGATGACAGCAATAACAGTTAAGGAGGAATTAATTATTGTCCAAATGTGTCCTCTAGAGGTAGGATCAATATCTATCAGACCTATACCAGTATTGCCAGTGGTGAACGATTACAGGAGTTGCAGTCCAATAATGCCTCAGAGCCCATACCTGTTCCCCATATTGGCTTAGACCGGGGTGACCTTACAGCCATGCCAAACTGATAATGCTCTCAATGAATTCAAGTGCCATAATGAGGACTAACCAAGCAATACCTTTTCAATTGATTTATATGTTATATTTTAAATGTAAGCAATATCAGAACTCACATTATTTTAAAACATACATTTGACTGTGCAAGTGAATGTATTTCATGTCTTAACTGAATAATTTTAATGGGAGGTTTTTGGATTTTGAGGACAAAACTCATGTTTGGGTGATGCCACTACTGAATGCTGAGCAATGAGATCAATATTTTACTTGAGAGGTTCGCGTGAGCATTTGAAAGATGTGTGGCATCATTTTTGAAAAGCATAAAATTGACCTTGATAATGCCAAATTAGTATAAGCTGCAGAATTTTAAAAGATTGGGTTTATTTATCATTGGTAAATGTTTTGCTTTGTCCAGGGTGCTTAATAATACATCACTCAAATTCTCTGCTCCATCCACTTTTTGATGAGTAATAGTTGTATGTGTGAATTAATTCAATGGTGGACTTGCATCTGACCTGCCCTGAAAGTGGCATTGGAACTATAGTAGTCAATTCAATCAAGGTGATATCTCCTGATACTAGAATAACCAAGTGATGAACTATCCATATGTGAAATAGCCTTGGTTTAGGCTTTCCCAAGTTTAATGTACTGAGGCACAAAATGTTAGCCTTTCCCCACAGAAAGGTAGGTTCTTGGTGTAATGAACTGGGGTTTTCAGTGATCATGCCTCTATTTTCTGTCTTCTTTTGTTTGTTTTGTTTTTTTCCTCAGGGGAAATCGCTCACATCAAAGAGATTAACCAGTCTAGTGCAGTCCTACTAAAAGGATCGCCTTGTAGCATGGAAGCAGACTCAATCATGACACATACTTTGTAGCTCACTAATTGCCTGAAATCAGAGGACAATAGAACAAGATGTTGCATGAGCAAGGACCTGACTTGTTTTCTTTTGTGTATATCAAGGCATTACAGACTCCAAGGGACTCGCTAACCTTTCGATGCCTCCATTTTGAAAACTCTCTGCTCATTTTCGCCTTCATATCAAGCTGGATCTGTGTCTTTTAATTTTCTGCAAGCTCAAGTACAGTGAAAAAAAGGCTTCTGTTAGGCACAGTTGAGTTACAGTACTGTCAGCCACAAACTGGAAGAATTTTTTTTCAAAAAAGAAAACAGAATATATATCTACTATGGCATCACAGCTACTGCACAAAAATTAGCACAGAAAATTCCATCTCACAGATGTATTCACATCAAGAAAGAAAGGCTGTGTCTTTGTCTGTTGTCTGTATAGTCTATGTTAATGTTTCTTGCATTTATTTTTATACCATATTTTAAGGGGGAAAAGAACATCTTTTACTCCAAATGTATTAAAGCTAATCCTTCCTCTGTAAATTTGTGTATGTTTATATTGTTGTTTTCTCTTTCATTAAAATATGCAGAATCTCTTCCCTTTGGTAGTAAAATGGTGTTGATTTATTCCCAGGGGTGGAAAAAATGTAGAAAACTATTCTTGAATTGGTCAGAAATCTGGTTTTTTTCTTCTTTTTGAATGATTCAACATCCTGACAAGAAGGATCCTGCTCTAATGGGAATCATCACAGTTCAGGACATATTCTATGCAAAATTCATTTGCAGTTGTTCTGCATTTTCTGCATAGGAAACAATCTTTTCTGTGCCAAAAATGTTGCTTGGTGCAAAAAAAATGATGTTTTCTACATTTAAAATTGTGTTTTCTTGTAAAACACATATGAATTTTGTGGTAAATAAATTCTGATTTTGAATTGCTTTCAAAGACTCCTCAGCATGAACAAAATTGCTCTCTTTGAGAAGAATTAATGAAGAAATACTACTCCAATTTATTTCTTCTTCATCAAATCACATTACATCAGAAAATTACAGAAAACCAAAAAAATCACAGGCTAACTTTCATTGGTATATTAACTGCTTTTCCTCCCATGATGCAAACAATGTAATTCCCAATAATGTGTGTCAATTATTGTATCTATCATTATGGTTCATTTTTCCTTCTTTTTTGAGGACTTCTTTCTATGTGCAGTAACTTTCTCATGCTCCACTGACAAACACCTTTCACACAACATGTATGAGCATAGGCTTTTTGGTGTCTTTCTATGATGTACAAACACTTGGCAAATATGTTTGCCTATAACTATCCCTGTCACAAGAAAATGGAACTGTTATTTTAAAAAGAGATACAAGAGGAATAATAAGAATTTGAGTGTGAAAGTAAATAGCACTTCCCACTTTTGATTTCACATCTGTCCCTTGCATTACTCACACAACATACTTGCCAACATATTTCCCCCTTTTCAGTCCAATATGTTACCAAACAACTGTTTCCTCCAGGCAGATAGCTGTTTCCTCCAGAACATTTGCACTAAACTTATAAGCCACTATGGAGGCAGCACCATTTTCCCCAAATGCAGGAAAACATGGAAACATTTCCAACCCATGCATACAACCCTTAGAACCACCTACTACCTTCAAATAATTTCATATTTGTCTTAAATTGGTGATAGGGAGTGATGTCATATTATTTCCTCCTGTCCTTTTAAAAAAGACTACAGAGGAAAATAAAGAGTGATATGATGCTGAAGAATGTATATATTCCTTCCATTTCATAAAATGTATTACTGAATACAATAAAGGCATTTGGGTTTGTTGTGCGTAGATGGTTGCAAGCCATGGAGAGAATTCTTGAAGGAGTGGTTTATTTGTGTCTTCCTCCCTCTGCTCCCATATCATTTGGCTAATTTCTACCAAATAGCCTTCTGAAGCAGGAATGAATTCTAACCAAACTTCCTTCTCTCTAATCCTTCTGGATAAACTTCAGAGGCTTGCTGTCAACAATGGGGTGTGACAATTTCCAGATGTTCATACAGTCAGACTAATCTGAATTTCTGAAGAAAAAGAATATCAAGCAAATATGGGTTGGTTGTTCATAAGAGAATGGTTTCATTGAAGTTTTTATACTTTTGTACTTCATGTTACATTAGACCAACAAGCTAAAAGAAAAGTATTACGACTGAACTAATTGCTGAATGCTTTTTAAGTAGTGGGCTATGAGAACATAGGGTGCTTCACAAGAAAATGTGTTGAAGAACATGCATGCTTGTATGTATGTATGTATGCAAGCTTTCTGTTGTATAACTGCAAGATTACTCTTGGTTATGGCAAGAAGGCTTATTATGGGAAGGCTTATTAACAGGGAGGGAGTTTCCATGGTAGAGTGAAATATTGAAAACTTTTTTCCAGGAGTCCTATTCTAGTACTGAAACCACTATACAATTCTTACTTAATAGTACACTAGATGCCAAAGGAAATAAATATGAGCTATGGCTTTCTGAGCCATATATATGTGTGTAGCTAGCATCTATTTGATGAGGTTTAATGCATGAAACCTTGGAAATGTCATCTATGGTGAACATCTTCCATCTTCTAGTAACAATCTGATCCTAAAACCAGAGTTATTACACTACACTTCATATAAATGCATGATGGGAAATGGAAGAAACTGTTCCTATGCTTTGGAACATTCTCTTTAGCAAAGCAGCAAGTAATGTTTTTAACCTAGAGAGGCTTTTAATAAAATGCCATTGTTCTAATTGTGTCATTGTATTGTGTAATTTTTAAATCCCATTTAGAGTCTATATTTTTTAAATATAGTAACAGTTAAATTTTAGTTTTAATGTTGATTTTAACTGTTATCTTCTTAATATGTAATGTGCCCTAAGCCTATGTCCTGAAAAAAGGTCGAGTACTAATAAAGATTATAAAGAAAATGAAGAAGAAGACAATAACATAGTCACAAATAAGGTTGGTGGGAACAAGAGAGGGCCTTTTCAATGGTTGCTCTGTGGCTCTGGAACTCCCTTCTGAAAGACATCAGAATGGCTCTCTCCCTACTAAATTTCAGGTGCCAGATAAAAACTTTCTCTGGAATCAGGCCTTTGATGAAGAATAATACAAGAGTGATAGGCACCATAGTAACATTTGGGCTGAACCTTTTTGTGCAATACCTTTATGGACAAGTAGCAATTGGATGGATAATGGCTTTGGTTTATGTTTATTTAGTTTTAACTATACCTAAAGTGTTGAATGTAGTTTAATCTGTGGCATGTTCTATTATGGTCTAATGGCTTTATTATGTTTCAATTGTTGTTTTTTAAATTCTGTCTCATACTTCTTTTATCCCAATGTACCTGGTATGTTTCATACCTTGTTATTAGCCACTTTGAATCCCCAATTGGGGAGGAAAGTGGGATATAAATTAATAAATAATAATATTAATAGTACAGACTGGTCCAAACCAAAGAGCAATATATTGCTCTTTGTCCCCAACCCATATGCAGAAGTTGATTAGATTAGTTATCTGAAAATTACTTAAACACTGGCAATAATGTAATGTCCTCCATGACTCCAGAAACAACAGGCTAATTTAGAGCTTCTAAGAGAAATTGAGAAACTTCCAGAGGAATTAATACAAAAGAGCTGAAAAGCTGTATTTCGGTCTCACTCCTATAACCTCATCACATGGGGCTTATTTTGCCATCAAACCCCGGTTCCATGATAGTTTAGCTGCAGAGCCCACAGGTTCCCATCCCGTGATGTACTACTACTTTTGTGGGGATCCATGGCTAAACCATCATGGAACTGGCGTCTACTGCTGTGGTACCAACACGGGAGCCTTCCTATGTTGCACTAGCAACAATGGGGGGAAGCCAGCAGCTGATGTTTCCCCCTGTGGGATGGGATTGTTGATGAATTATTGTGGGGCGTGGGGTGATGGGTTCTACATGCCCTCCAATGGGCAGTGCTGGATTCAACACCGTCCATGACAATTCTGGTAGCCTGGATGATAAAGTCACTAGTTATGTACTCTCTGAATCAGTTGGCTTTCCTCTGGAGACTTGTACTGTTGATCCTGTATGTGAAGGTTCCAGTCAGCTCGTTCTTTAAAATACTGTTGGGGAAAGTTTTGTGAGATGAATCTGTGTAGACCATGCAGCCTACTCTTCATCCTCTATGTAAATTTGTCCTCAACCGTATTGGAAAGACCTCAGAAAAGTTACTTGCATGGACTATAACAACCAGAATCCCCTAGTCAACATATATCAATGTATTGCTTTCACTTTCTCCACACCCCTGGACTCAAGGCAGCTTGAAAAACCACACTTGCAAAAGGTACAGCTCAAAGTATCCATCATATAAAAGTTAAAATACAATCAAACTATTACCAGAATTAAAAGCAGTTAAAGCATGCTCATTATACAGGAAAAACCATCAGCCTTTGTCTGTTTTTATGATCAAATTATTCCTCTATTTCCTATTCTATTTCCTTTCATAATAGGTAGGTACTGCTATTTTCATTCCTACTATGACTTAAAATGGTGTACATATTCTTGTGGTTTTAACTAAGAACAATTCTTCTGTAAAGGATACTAGTAAGTTTTGATGTGAATCATCTAGCTATCATTAGACTGCATAGTTTGTAATAGGGTTGCCAGAGTGAAAACTGGAGAGGGTTTCTGTAGCTGTGATTAGATACTTCAACAGTCATTGTTTTTGCCTTGATGCACAAGTAGCATGTGTTGAAATTCATCAAGAATATGAAAAGCAGGATCAGTGGTGTTTTTTATGTATGCTTTTTTAGACAAAACATTTGTCTAATCATAATAATTGTAAAACTGGAGCTACCTTTTGTGGGATTATTGACAAATGCACCACAACTACTACCTCAACTTCTTTCACTGTCTACATCTATGGAAAATTCACTGTTTGCCTTCTGTGCTTTACACACGACATCGTTCTGTAGTGAATTAGTAACACACCCTACCGTGCCCAGATAAAATGCAGGCTTTTCTCCACTCAGAGCAATAATGTTCTAATAATTTTCATGAATGCTTGAAAACAGTTTGAGAATATGTGAGATATTGAAGCATTTAATCTTTTAATTAAATGCTTCAATATAAAAATTGGGGGGGGGGGAGAGGAGGGTCAAGGGAAGGGAATAGCCAAGACAATAGCCCAGAGAAGAT